ACCCGCAGGGCAGCGGGATGGTATGTGAAAACAGCATTCCATTGGGGATCGGTGACCACTGCCCCATCCGCTCAGTATTTGTTCTCCAGTCCCAACAAGCTCAGTTTCGCTTTGATTTAAATAGTTGTGCTGTGCTGTGTTCTGCTAGCTAATGAGATCAAAAAAAGACGCGAATTGAACAGAAAAGACTAGTATGGTGACGTGATTTTGCGCGACATTCCATTGGTAAACACGACAAGTGCACTCCAAGGTTTGTCAGTGTGGTCAAATGGGTTTGTACCTTACTGACTCTCAAGGAAATAATGCGTAATGATAAGCTGAATAAAACAAGGGAGATAAAATTAGAGATACACGAAAAGTGATCATAGTAGATCGAAACATACGTGTTCCGGGTCGTCAGGTTATAAAATATACAGTTTCATATAACATACAAAGTGGAGAATGTCGCTAAAATTTGTTTCATGTACAAAACGTCCGATGCAGTTCACTTGCGACTTTTTGGTTAGAAGTCTGGACAGACAGGGCATACAGGGGAATTTTTATAAACAATGTTAATGCGAGAGGGTAGACTGTGTAAAGAGGAGCGTGTGAACGGGAGGAGAACTAGAAGAGAAGAGATCGGGATGCAGTGGATGAAGAGGGTAGTCTAGAATCTTAGTTACAAATTTAACGCAAGAGTTGATGTGATCATTATTGAGTTCTGTGATTGATTAATCGATTGGGATTGATGATGCACGACTGATTATCATCAAACCGCAACGAACGGTTTTGAAGTATTGTTTTAAAAAGCCGGGAAACACCACAAGGGATCAATGGAGTAGAATGAATAAAACGCACCGGTGAACCGAAAGAATAAAAATTGCACTTTTTTGCTGTATACACCATGTTGTGAGACAGAGAAATCGTCCCGGACCGAACTAGATCAGTATGACAACATGATCTTTTGCTTTCCAATTGATTTTGAGAAAGACTAGCGACAGTTTTCTCAAACAAACCAATTGTATGTGATCCCGTTCGTTCTCGCAACCGGGTGGATTAGTAAATTAGCGGGGAAAAATAGTGCCGAGTTGAGTGGTTTACAGACTTCACAACGGGAAAAAAAGAGGCAACGCGTGAAGTCGTGGGGTGGGGGGGAGGAGAGAAGGTTTATGACGGGTCTTTCACTTTTTCGTGGTTTGATGGGTTGCACAACTTCTGACGTGATCAATACGTGGTCAGAGGACGCATAGACCGCGGGTGAGGGCCGCGGAAGTCTCTCTATCTCTCCCGCGGTTGCCTAAAACTTTGCGCCTGACCCCAGGACTGTTCGTCCGGATGCCCCCATCAGATTCGTGCAATGCTGAGTAGACAGCGGAGTTCAAACACCGACAGTCTACCTTTATTCTTTTTTCCTTGCGATCAAGTTTCTGCACCGTATAGCAGAACTGGTTGCACTGCAGCAGCAAACGCTCGACACTTCACTAACAGTCGGATGTCGCGGCGACGCCACAGATCAAGTTGGCAAATGCCAACCGAGCCTTCTATCGTTGTGTCAACGCTTTTGCTATTGATCAGTGGCGCAGGCTCATGCAACTGGAGTGAATCTGCGTGTGTGGACTTTGCAATCGTCATCATCGACTTGAAGCCTGGTCTCTATGAGACGCAATATGATTGTATTGGTCAAGCGTTTTCATGTCCGGGTCCTCGTGCTCTTAGGGACTCTCCATCGTTCGATTCAAGTAATTTTGCCGCACAGATAGAAGTGAAACCATAAGTTGCCAAGTGAGGATGGCAATCCACCTTGGTGAACGTTGCATATAACGCATCGATCGGCTGGATCGAAAGATGCGGGTGTTTTTTCTAATTGCAAACAAAACGTGGCAGACGAAACAAGCCAATGTTCAATAAATTCATGACCGGGCCATTTCGACTGCATACAGGTTCTTTGTGTTCGTCAAACCCGGTTTGATCGCCACTGTGTGTGTGTGTGATTAAGGTCGTGGATGAAGCTTCTTGGGGCGTTTTCTCGGAATTTACAACCCTCACTTGTCTATTCCTTGTCTATAATTTCCGTTGCTTTTTCTGGTAACTCATCTAATAAATGAGTGAAGGAGATTTGGAGACAGTGTGTGTGATTGCTGTATTTCTCTACCTGATCCTCATCTCGGTTTATCATTCATATCGGCTGTAGCTGTACACTGGTCCGCCAAAGCCGAAATTGCATGCTAAATGGCGCTTCCGTAAATCGCAAACAGGGAAACGGACATCGAATTGGTGATTAGCAGTGCATAAGATGGGCTAGTACTCACAGACTGCGGACGAGTAGTGGCAGTGTCCCAGGATGTGGTAAGGGATTTTGCTCGGTAAGCGTCCTATAAGATTCCACAAATCTGATGCGTTGATATTTTTTAGTGCGTCCGCTGGCAGAATAATCAATTTAGGTAGAGAGCTTCTGCTACTGTGGACACACCACTAGCTTTTGCATAACCAAGTGCGAACTGCCAGGCAGCAGGAAGTAATCCCTCGACGTTCGTAACTCAGGGGATCAATGAGTTTAATTTTTAAAGGCCAGTCACATTGACCTTTGTCACGACACCGTCATTGGGCTTATGCGGCTTTTATTAAACAGAAGACAGGTGACCAGCCTGAAACTCACCATACCCTTCAAGTCAAGTCCGTCAGTAGTAGCTTTATGCACTCGCATGGGTGTATTTTCAGCAATTATACCATATTTGTGGATTCAAATTTACAAAATCATTACATAATGAAACTGAAAGCAATGCGGTGCGTTTGTCAATGAAGCAAGCGGTTGCGCAATTCTGTGGAAATTTTGTCCTTGTCTATATGTAGACGTGCTAGATATGGCAGAACAGAATTACGATAAGCGGAGGTACATGCAAATAAAAGTTTAAATCTTGAGCGTGTGGATGATGTGAATACAGCTTTGAAAATTCGTTGTGCAATGGGTGGTGAGTGTCAGAGTATTTTGGTAGTGAAACTTTCGCATGCTTGTAGGTGTCTGTCAATCGGCGAGTTGATCCCTGACAATGCCACTACATTTAGAGATGTTTCAGAGATCTCGCCAGTAAATAAAAGTCTTTCTTCAACATACCGGGAGAAATTACTGGAGAGCAATACAACCCGTGGGGTAGCACGCATGCATTCACAAATCTAACAAACAGCTTGTGGGGAACAGAAAGTAATCCCAATCGGATTGAGAAATACGAAAGTTTTCTTACTTTACAGAATGTGTTTTGAACGTGC